GCCAGGCGCCACAGGTACCATCGGGTACGCTAATGCGGGTGCTGGGTAGACGACTGCCGGAGAGTAGAGCACCGCTTGCGAAAGACACGGTGTTTCCCAGACTTGCCATGTCGGTCTAAAACAAGATGATGAGCAAAGGGACAGCAGAATGAGCACAAGCAACATACGGGTATGAAACAAGTGTGGTACAGGATGGCGCCGGGGACTGAACAAATGTCGTCAGCGGAGTTGAGGAGCGTGAGGTTGCGAACGTACGAAGCTGACCAGAGCGGGTTGTAGGACGGGAACAACAATCGCAGGAGATATCGTGCTCATAGGTAGATGCTGGGGTATAGTTATTGTATACGATGGATATGTTATTTGTGGAGAGTGCAGGCGATGGAGAGAAAACAAGTGGCATGCACTCTTGAAGATCTCTTTATATGCCGTGAGACGTCCTTTACCCATGTTAGTCGTGGTCAGTAGTGCGAGCGCACAGCCTGTAGCAGTGCCACAGGGCACAGGAAGGCGATACAACACCTCATCTGGACCGTGTTGTCCAAGAGTATAGTGGGGGCACAGAAGAGTCCGCATATATGGTCCTGCCAGCAGGACGCTGCGTATGCGATATCGCGCTGGCTGTGCTTTGCAGGACAAAAATATCCGAGGACAGGTACAGAGGGTACCCCATGACTAGGTGGAAGTGGGAGGAGCTGCGACGCAGCGGTACGTGTTCTGACTCCAGAGCTGGGACTCGGGGGATGTGGCATCTTATTGTGCGTTCGTCATGGTTTCAGTCGTTGAGTAAGTCAGATCTGCACAGAGGAGTCTTTAAACAGATGCCTCTCCGCGGCGACAGACTAGCCCGGAAAGGGTAGGTATTGTTGTCTCTTCGCAAGGTCGAAAATAGACATGCTTGCCGTCCATCCGCCACTTGTCTGAACAAACAAGAGCTTGTTTGACATGCATGGCATCTGTAGCAACGCAACTGGCTTGGCGAGCACAATGTCAGGGTGGGATAGGCAAGTAAGAGATCCAACGACTCGTCGGAGGAGAAACATTACGCAGGGCGCCAGTCAGCTGTATAAGCACGTTCCCGAAAATGATATACCACACCGCCCGTATCCGGGGCCGTGGGCTCGGCGGCATGTCGAAAGGTAATACATCATAATATCCTAGCTAGGGTCATCCGGTGTATGACATGCTGCAGCCGTGCCACTACGGAGCGATTTATATGGCTGCTATGTCTCTTGAGCCAGTGAGGACAAAGCGCATCTCAAGCTGCTTCACCTGGGGAGACGCACTAAAAGAAGCGACATGGTGCCTTTGTCATAGTGGCGCGTTGCCATATCTTCCGTGTCCACACTGCCTAGGTTTAGTGACACAGCGCATAAGCACAAGTGGCACTTAGTATCACAAAATCCCATCCAAAAGTAGCGAATGACTGAACATGAGACGAGTCTGTAGGTATCAAAGCTGCGCGCCGTCAAGTCCGTCGTATCCCTTCCCCTCTCTTTTGACAGACTGGGCAGCGGCAGTCGAGGCGTGCCCGGACGAGTGCTGTCCTGCGTTGTAATTAGGCACAACAACACAGGAGAAAGGTTAAGTACGACGTACAAGGCAATCTTCTCGCCGATACCTGCGCGCCCGCCAAGGCTGTGCCCAATTTCCGTGTGATGCTGTAAGAGCTCGCTCTTGTTCATGCAACGCGCATGGACGACGTGCCGACACAGGAACAGTAGTAGCAGCGACTGACTGTTCTCGATGAGCGAATCGCCACATACCGGGCATGTCTGCTTCCCTACATGATGTCTGTCAATTGCCCCTACGTTACAGCAAGTACAGGTGGTCGTACCACTGAGGAAGAAGCCAGCCGTCTGATTCTTATGCGACCTCTGTGCGAGGTCGGCACAGTCGCCGTTGCAGATGTCTTGGCATCCCTCAAGCAGCGAAATTTGGAGGTTAAAGTCGTGCAGGATCTTAATAAGCGCGCCCTTCAGTTCGGGGATCTCCAAACCATTTTTTATCCTCCGAATAATACGAATTGGGTTGATTTCAGCGCCGACATTCTCCAGCAAACCGCGAATGAAGGCTATGACGAAGGGCGTTAAAGGCCTTCGAAGAACACCAGGAGCAGAAACGGAAACCTGGTCGTGTCTCCGAATAGCGTAGTAAGTCTTCCCAGAGATCGTCGTCGTGCTGCTCTTTAGCAAAGTCGATAGCCTGGAACAGATGACTTAAGTCAAGTCTAATATATGCGAAACTGCTCTGAACATACCCGATCGACATCGCCCAATCTTTCGATGATCAGATTCAGCGCCCTTCTATTGTCACCCATGCGACCAAGTAAGAACACCATTTCTGCAACCAAGCCACGCTCCTCGCAAACTTTATAGGCCTGTTGTAGATGTCAGTCACATCGTCACTGTAAGGAGAGACTGTTAGACGCACCCGCTCAAAGGTGTAGTAGTTACTCGACCGGAGGAAGTCTATCAGCTTCTTGGGAGCGTACTCAGCGTACAGTTTGACCTGTTCAAATTCCAGTTAGTCACTCTCAGCGGACATTATCCATAACAAAACCCACCTGTGTGTCAGCAAAGTGCGACGTCAAGTGCTGATCCTTGGCGAACAGCGCATCCAGGTACAAGTACAGGTAGAAGTCCCTGACTTGTAGCTGTTGCACTACCCTTCCAATCTACACAACGTGCATCAGCCCTCTATCATACGTAGCGGTACGAGAGTACTCACCGGAATGGAGTGAATGTGATCCACGAGCAAACTGATCGCTGCGCTCTCGTTCGAATCGACTTTCCGCCCGCCTCACGGCGTTTCTCCTTCAGCTCAAAATCGAATTCGACGAGGAGCAGCGCCTGGTCTTGCACTGCGGTGAACAAGTTGTGTTCCCGAATAAGGTCAAAGACGTTCGGACGCCGCAGGCGCAGGAAGTATGGGAACGCTTTGCTTGGCTGGCGGTTCATGGTATACAGCTCGGCGAGGCACTCCATGAGGAGCACGGTGTCTGATGTCGCTGGACTTGAGGGTGAAGTCGACGTTGACGGAGCGGAATCGAGCTCCGCCTGGACAGCAACTATGACGGCAGATATGTCATATATGCCCACTGGCCAGTCCTTGATCGTCTTCAGCAACATCTGTAGATCCTGGTCAGCAAGCAGCTTTCAATACATTGAGCCTGAAAGCATTACCTGGCGGTTGTGTGACAAGAAGTATGCCAGGATCATCTCGTATACAAGGCGCCCAAGCGTCGGCTCCTCTGTCGGCACGTAGGGAATGATAGCCTGCAGCTGGTGCCTCTGTGCAAAGACAAATATCCAGTCTTCCCACCGCTTCGTATTATGGGTGCATACTTTCGGGCACAAACGGGCGGCTTTAGTATAGTCTTCTGCGCTCGATGAGTCAGCAGTGTTCGGCTTCAGATCATCCCGGGCTGACCTTCGCCGACCAGATGCTCAATATACCGCTGTCCAATTGCCACAGCGCTGACCCCTTCGCGCTTCTCGTCCTCGTCACTCTCCTTGTTATGCTTCTCGATCTCGTCCAGCGCCTCCTCAAACCGCTTCCGCTCTACAAGCCACAAGACGTGGTCCCGCCAGTCACGGGGCTTCACGAGCACGACGTCCTTCGGGCTCATCACAACATAGCTCCCAGCCTGACCCTCCACAGCTGCAGGCACCTCGATCAACACGTAGTCGTTGCAGGCCCAGCGCTCGTAGTTCGTGATGCTCAGCGCATCGTTTGCAAGCTCTTCGCCCCCGCGCGAGATGATGCGCAGTTCTGGTCGCTCTGCTGCCTTGCGTGCCTGTTCCGCGCGCGACAATGCAGCCTCGTTGCCTGTGAGAACGGATATGTCGGGAGGAGTATACGCAAGGATAAGGAACACGGTGAGCGTCGGCTGCTGCGACTTAGTCGTATTTGTCGGAGCGGCGTGCAAAGTGTGCGGACCTGCGCTCTCCGGCATGAGGTAAGGGACGATGCCGGCCATCATGCAATCGAGCTGGAAGACAGCTGTGATCTCGACGAGCAACGGGGGAAGATTCGCGGAAGGCTTGACGTTAGAGCGTGGGCGTGCACGAATTCGACAGACCCTGATCTGATCCGCCCATGCAATCAATAGTGTCGAGTCGTCTTGCCAGTGTAGAGTGCACTTGAACAGGTCTGCGCGCGGGCTATCGGTAGGTCGGTCGATGTAGATGATGCGCATCTGGGATACAGTGTCGTAAATTTTGACTCCCTGCCGCATAAATATGGTTAGGGATTGTCATGCACAGGGCCAAAAAGCGTCATACCAGGTCGTTTGCCCACGCAATCAGCCTGCCTCGCCATCGAGCCTGCCAAATAGGCCCTTCTCCGGTGTGAAGGACAGTCTCTTTATGTCCGAGCCACCCCTTCTCGTGCAGGATGAGATTTCCAGCCAGTCCATCACAGACGAATGCACGCTTACTGCGCTTTGCGAAGTCAGGCTCCAGCGATACTGTTCGCATTGGTCGCTTCTTATCGAACGAGTAGACTTCCGGCGTGGAGAGCGAGTAGATGACGACCTGTCCTACGTATCGCATATTAGACGCGAACTTAGCCAGTAAGTGAGTAGCTTACCGTCCATGGATGCAGTGGCTATGAAGTCACCAGTCTCGTCTAGTGAAATATCGAGAATACTAGCAGAATGGGGTTTCACGGATTTCGTGCGTTCGCCTTGCATATCTAGAAGGTGAACAATGCCTGAATGCGCACCAAGTGCCTGCAGAAAACAAATTAGCATCCCTACGGGTAAAAAGCTGTTCACGTACCAGCCGTTGGCGGGAATAAGCTAGCGCGGATGCAGAGTCCTTTACGAGGAGATCGTGCACCGACCCTCCTAGTCGCTCGTATTTGAGGGCGGGCTCTTCGTCATCCTCCTCCTCCTCATCTCCTTCGTCGTAATCCTCGTCGCCTTTTTCCCCGTCAGCGACACCTGCGTCGTAGTGGTCGGGTGCACGTGCGTTTTGCTTGGACGCTCTGCATTGTCCTCCTCATCTTCCTCCCCGTCCCCGTCCCCGCTCTCGCTCTCCCAGCTGTCTTCTTCTCTTTGCTTCGCATTTCTACCATCTCCACCATTCTGCATAGGTGACTCTGCCTCGCCGTTCTCACTGGGCTCCCCGCCATCCTCATGCTCAGCCAAGTTCATCTGGTCGTGACTGTCCGCCACGAGACGCGAGTCCTTCTCTTCACCGTGCCCATTAGCGTCCTCCGTCATCGCAGGTCATTAATGATTGATGTTTGGGGTCTGGCAAACATGGGGGCAGGAAACAACGTGTACAGATGTAGTGTCGCGTCTCGCGGGGAGAACGCTTCGGGCGTCTCTGAGTACGAACTAGACTTCTGTTATTACGCTCATTAGTAATTACACTGGGTGGTAAGTGCACTTTTTTCCGGCGTAAAATTAGCCAAAAACTGATCCAACAAGGCTCCAACTTTATCCGGTTTTCACCCGAAAAAAACCGAAGGCAAAACTCATTTTTCCGCCAGTTTTACTGTGTTTTGGACCCTTTTGGCCGGTTTTGCACCGGTTTCTCCTCAGTTTGCATCGGCGTAGAATCGAGGAATAACGGGGCCTTGTTTAGCCGCATTTGTCTGAGTTTCCTTGAGAAAAAAACTGCGCTTACCACCCTGTGTATAAATGCTTCTTACCGTCTTACGGTTTATCTATTATCCGGTCAGCTACTCAGATGAGCTTCGAGTTACATCTCGTGCAGTACTTATAGCAAGCTCGCACCCAAAAGACGGTTGCAAGCCGCATAAATGACCATTGTCCCGGAAGTATTACGACAGGACACAGCCTAAAGAGATATTCAACATATCAATCCTCACGCTTTTCTTTCCCAGACTGAACATCACGCGCCTCGACATTAATGGCTTCAATTATTGTATATCTTTACCATCTACCTTATCCTCCTGTGGCAGCACCTGGTTTAGCACAGTAGTGACGATACCTGTGATGAGAACGGAGGGCTTTAATCAGTAAGACTGTTACATTTAGAAAATGTAAATACTTACACGGCATACTGAGCGCGATCGTGATTGAGTCGAAGGCTCACACCGCTAAACAGGTACGTGAAGAAGCTAGGCATGAGCAGGCCGCCACTGCCGAACTTTGAACTACAGTACGGCCGCCACGACGAAATGTTCTGTCGCGTTCACCAAAGCTTGTTCGGCCGGCGAGCGAGGAACGTCGCAGCGAAATCAGGCAATGAAAACTTGGCACCACGAGAAATTGAACCAGAGGCTTCAGCGGCGGCGTCGACGAGTCGGCTGCGAATGAGACTTTGGTAGCAGAGATAGACCTGGTACCGCTGCGACGGGCTCACGGTACGCCCTGACACGACCGAATGCCCGACTGTCGGCGTCCTCCTTGTTTGTGATGCAATGCAAACCCGTCCGACTTGGTGTGCTGGGCGTCGGGCTCGATGAACATGATAGATACGATGACGCGCTGGCCGACCAAGCACCAAGCCGGCTCGTGCTATCGGAGCTTTCAAGTTCGGGTTCAAGTCGATGCTTTCTAGAGGCTCGAGCGGGAGCAACGCAAGGATTTGGTTGCCGGTGCCCTCAGGCGGCGGAAGCGCGAGGAATTGTCTTTCACTTGACCTTTGCTACGGATTCCTCTATGGTTGGTCCTGTTATGGCGCTTGTGAGAAACCTGCAGCGACCTCGAGAGCCAGACAGACAAACGCACCAGTATCTGGTACGCCTTGCTGCAATATGCTGCTCTAGCTGCATATGGGCGGCGCACCGCCTTGGGACACTGCTCTTCGATGCATCTGGGCATTTATGCCGCGCATGGGAGCGGGCGGGATCTCCTCGCCTCGATTTGCTTTTCTGACCGTACGCCTTCTTGTGCCCGTCGTGGCCCTTCCCGGGCAGGGCGAGACTCGGTGCGGTCAGTCTTCTCAAGACGTAATTGAGCAGGAAGCGAAGATGGCGCATCTCCTGTCGGACCCGTATAGTGCGTCTTCAATATCTCTGTCGACCATCGTCGGCTCGAAGAAGTCCATCTTAGCTGCCTCCTTCGCCATCTTGGCCGCAGCGGACGGGAATTATATACGCGCATAGTTGTCAAGTTCGGCGCTGTAGAGTCACGTCTTGGAAGGCGCGCGAGAGCACAGAATTTACACGGGCGTGGGTGGCCTTCGTGAATTGCTCGCGTTGCTGCAGCCTCGAGCACTAGGCTGCGGAATGGCGCGACATGCATGAAGGGCTTATAATCCGGATATCGTTCTGTCGGTGCTCAGATGGCGGTTGACCGAGAATGAAGATGCACGGGCTCTTGTGCTTCAGCCTTGTGATGTGCTCCGCCCCAACGACCTCCCCTCCCGCTTTGTGTCTTTAAATGTGAGCCATGTCGAATCTGCCCAGCTGTACGACAAAATAAACTCTAAATTCAAGCGATGAGCATGAGGACCCTCTGAGAGGTATGAAAACACATGCATTATCTTTGCAGCCGGGACACGAGGACAGTCCTTAGACCCAAAGAACGCGAGGTTCGGCTGCATCGTAGGAGTGACCATAGCTCGAGTGAAGGGAGATTTAGAATAAGTGTAGGGTGTGTGCCCTAGCTATTGTCTTGACTTGTCGGGGAAAGCCTGTATTCAGCGAATTGCTGCAGAGCAGAAGTCGACTCATGATAGATGGGAGCCAAACGTTGGAGCGCCATTCGGGCAACGATGGCGCTCCGAACTCCGAACGGATTGACCCTGCGCGTCATTCCCGACGCGAACATCTCCAACGAGAGCGAGTATCGAAGAAGTATACAACGCCAATAAAGCTAATAACCCCAGGCCTCCGCCTATACAACGAAGCGCCGGAGTCGTTGCGCGTCGTGCCCTTCCTGTATGTCGTCACCTTCGCGCATGTCACAACTTACGAAACTCAGCTCAAGGCCGAACTCACGCATGGGCTCGCGGAACACGTCGTTTTCACGCGTCGCGTTGTCTTTCCTGTCTACTACGCGCCGCGACGAGTTGAGTACGATAGGCTACACGCTTCTATCAGGCACGATCCTCACGACACTGGAAGTTAGATCGCGCAGACAGGATCGTCTTTTGAGCAGCGGGAGTCCTCGAGAACGACCATCCAGAACCTGAGATCGAAGCACCTATCTCTCTTTTCCTTGGGGCCCTTTTATTCGGCATTCACCAGTCTTCGCGTGGCACCAAGATGCTCGCAAAGGGGCTCGACGGTGAGATCCATTGATGTTCCAGGCATGTCAGGAATGCAAAAGCGTTAGACAGAAGCGCTCTGCAGACTATGCAGTTCAGCCCACCCTATGCAGTCAGCCAGATTGGACAAGGCTGAGCCGAGATTACCCAGAACAGGCGTTTTACAATTGTGTTCGTGCGTCTCGCTTGTAACTTTCTGTGCGCTCCAATGAGCTCGCTGACGGATCACAAAAGATATCAGCTGCAGTGTCCGCGACCAGTTAGGGATTGAAGACGAGCGGCCATAGTAAATATGCAGGCTCTATTTCCAAGGTCAGATGGTATGTTCTCCGCGTATCCTCTGGCCTACAGAGCCTAGTAATAAAGTGTTGTGACATTCCACGCAGCTTTCATTCTCCCTGTTCCAGCGAAGCCATTCCCTCGTCCAAGCTCGCGTACAAAGCGACTCTTTTAATTTTCTCTCTCATATCGTCTATGTTCGCGCCTACACCGCATGTCAGCGATTGGGCCCTCTGTTTGCGGCCTGAATGACCTACAACTACCTGAATGTAGGTATGTTCGCCCTCAGCGCCCGTCATGGCAGCCAATCGGCGTCCGCCGAACGCGCCTTTTCTGACTCGTGACATAGTTCTTCGCAGGCTCTCAGCACGAGACCTGCGTGGCTGTAATACGGGCCTTCGCTTGAACCACTCTGTCAGCAGCTATGCGCCGTCTGAAAGAGAAGCTGCAGAGCAGCAAGGCCCCCGACGCCGCCATCGGACACCTCAAGCGAGCTCTCGATGTGTTCAACGACGTTGCTGGTAATGTTGGAGTGCCGGGATTGCAAATAGGCGTGAGCGTCCTTTCGACCGTGTTGGCAATGGTCCAGGTATGCACCGTGTACCGTCCTCTCGGCGGTGCTTCTGATAACGGAAACAGAAATCGCATGCGAACACAGAAAGTATCAAGGAACTGGCTACGAGGGTAGGAGATCTGACGAAGATGGTGCAAGAAAGTGCAGAAATGCAGGGCGAGAATATATCTGCTCCGACGCAGGACAGAATCAACGGATTGCTAGAGTGAGTCTGCTGTTGATGGTACAAGTGCAGGACAATGACGTCACACAGGTCTTGGAAAATAATCGACGGCGAGGCCCAGAGTCTCAATTCCCGGCACAAATTCTGGAGAACACTAGGAAGCGACAAGGAAGCAGAAGAGATCACAGGTTTAGTGCAGAGGATATCGTCGTCAATCGAGGCTTTCACGGTATGCAACGTTTAATAACTCTGAAGACTCGCTCCTCTGGCTAATATGCTGCTTTGAATGACAGGTTGGCAGTATGATTGCGATTGAATCTGCTTTGCATGTAGGTAGCAGACATGCCTCAGTTGCCGATGCAGACGTTAACTTCGCGCCAAAAGCATCACGCGCATATTTCCAAGCAAGACTCGCAGAGAGTAGAGGCGAAGATAGACGTCATCCCAGATATCATTGTTAAAGTGAGGATCTCTCAGCGATTGTACAGACTGCAATCTAACGCCTAGTGATTCTAGCGCTTATTAGCTCGCTGGGAAGGTGTGCTCAACGATTAATACCGCGGCGCTTTTGTCCTGACCACTTTCTTTAAGGCAGCTTTGTACCGCCCCATGCGGCCCGAGCGCAGTTTGACAGCGACTCTGAACGCAAGGCTTGTCTAGATGGGACACGTACGGAGATCTTAGAAAATATCTTCATCTGGGCAGCTGGCCGATACGTGCCTGGTGGTGCGGCCGGTCCTGCCAAGGGCTCTACCCTCCAGCAACGCAACATTCTCTGGCTCAACGGCTTACCCGGCACCGGCAAGACAACGTTATCATTCTCCGTTGCAAAGGAATGCCATCGTCGTGGCATCCTAGGTGCAAGCTTCTTCTGTTCTCGATCCGATGCCGATTGTAGCAAGCCCTCCATGATCTTCACTACCATCGCGTATCGCCTCGGACTGTTCTACGAACCTTATAAGGACCGTGTCACAGAGATACTCAAGAACGATCCCGATCTAGTAGACTCTCAAGTCTCTCGTCAATTCGAAGAGCTCATAGTGCAGCCATTGGCGCTCCTCCGCGAGGGCTTCTCTCCATGTGTTGTGGTGATCGATGCACTGGACGAGTGTCAGCAACCTCAGATCACCTCCACGATCTTATCGACCCTGCTCGAACATGCGGACCATCTCTCCCCACTGCGATTTTTCGTCACCAGCCGGCCCGAACGGGACATTGTGGCCACATTCGACACTCCCAACTACCGCGATGCATTTGGCAAACTACTCCTACATGCAGTCGCATTGCAGCCCGTAACCACTGCGGACATCAAGCGGTACCTTACGGTGTCACTGTCAGATATCAGACGGTATTTCGGCTTGGCGGATACCTGGCCCAACGATACCGATATCGAGACACTCAGCAAGATGGCTGGCGGCCTGTTCATCTTTGCCGCGACCGCCATCAAATTTATCAAAGACCGTCACTACAACGACCCAATTGGACAGCTGAAAAGACTCATATCCGCAGCAAGTTCACGCGGCTCCCATGCGCTGCTTGATGAGCTATATCTTCAGGTGCTCAAAACTGCCACAGCTAATATGTCGGCGAGTCTTTCGAAGCGACTTCAGACTATTCTTGGCTCCATCGCCACCATTAAGGATCCCCTTCCCCTATCTGGCCTCTCGCAACTACTTGGGCTCTCCACCGATATCGTATACAGCTCCCTCGTCGGTCTCCACTCCGTACTCGTAATACCGGACACTCAAGATTCTGCGGAGAATATCCGCATTATCCATCCGACCTTCCCCGAGTTCTTGCTCGACCCGAGCCGCTGCACGAACCGTTCATTCACCATCGACCCACAACGACAGAACACACTGCTACTACGCAGGTGTCTCTACGCGTTGAGGGAGCTGAAGCGAGATATCTGTGACATTCGGGACCCTTCTTTACTCAACACCGAGGTTCCCGACCTGCCGCGGCGTATAGAGGGTGCGATCCCGGCACACCTGCAGTACGCCTCTCGGCACTGGTGCACTCATCTTTCAAGCTGCGAAATATCAGACAATATCCTTGACGGACTTCTCAAGTTAGTGCAGAGGCGACTGCCACACTGGCTCGAGGCCTGTAGTCTGCTCGGAGTATTAAGGGATGTTGTTCCGGGTATCAACGAGGCGCAACGGATACTCAGGGTGAGTGCACTTCATTCTCAGGTATGGCTTGCACATCTACAATTTTATGTAGGACATTGACGATGATCGAGCGAGGGGCATCATCGTCCTGTTGAATGACTGCGAACGGCTGCTCGTCGGCCACTTCCCTGCGATTAGCGGCTCAGCGCTACAGCTATACTATTCGGTTTTGCCAATTATTCCGACGAAGACGATGTTTACATGGACATACGCACACGAGCGTTTTGCAGGGAGCTCCATCAAGGTCTTCGGCAGCATCCCGGACGCTTGGAATGCCTGCTTGGGTACGGTCAACGCACATGGAGGTCGTTCGGTCGAGGCGGTTGACTTCTCGCCCAACGGCAGGACGATTGTCTCGTCAGGGTGCGACTCCAAGATACGCCTCTGGGATGCGCTGACGTGCGCCCTACTTCTGGTTCTCTCCGGTCATTCAAAATGGGTTCGCTCCGTCAAGTATTCTTCGGATGGCACCCGCATAGCTTCTGCTGCTGAAGATGGAACGGTCAAAGTCTGGGACGCCGTGTCTGGTGTGCTCATCCGCACCCTGGAAGGGCACGTGTACGGAGTCCTCTGCGCAGTCTTCACACCCGACGGCAGGCGTATCGTATCTGGCTCTGACGATCGTTCTGTCAAGATTTGGGACATGCAGACAGGTGCCTGTTTGGCAACCTTAACCGTGCACAACGACAACGTCAGATCTGTTGCCGTGTCTCGGGACGGCCGTTGGATGGCGTCGAGCTCGGCGAACCAAGTCTACCTGTGGAATCTGGAGGCGTCGACGTGCACTCATCATGTCTCGATAACTCCCGAAAGCGAAGGCTTTACTTTTCGTGATATTGCCTTCACGCCAGATAACTCCCAAGTTGTGGTTGTATTGGCTAGCAGTAACTTGGCGAAGCTGTCGGTCTGGGACGTCAAAACCGCGAAACACCTCCGCGACCTCCAGCCATCAGGCCGATCGTTCTCGCGGATCGGCAGGCTAAGCTTTCTTCCGACCGGAAATAAGCTCACCTGTGGAGCAGGGAAAACTATCCTCGTCTTAGACTTTGCAGATGGCGAGGTTCGACACGAATTTTTCGGTCACACTCCTGGCCGCAACATTAACAGTGTCACTTATAATCAAGACGGGACTCGCATCGCGTCTGGCTCGAGCGATGGCACTATTCGGCTGTGGGACGTGTCGCGGTCTGCGGCGATCAAGTCACAGCCTGAGTACGTCAGCAAACCATCCAATCTGCCCAGTGAGAAATTGGCCGACTACCGCTTGGCCGTCTTCTCCCACGACGCGAGTCGCGCGCTATTGGTGGCCGACGACAGCTACCGATCCAGTAGTATCGAGGTGGTGAAGACCGATTCGTGGGACCGTGTGTACAAGCCTCTGTCTCTACCCTCCGGACGCTCGCATTATGCGGGGTTTTCGCCAGAGGGTGCAACGATCCTTACGGCATCGAAGGGAGATCGTGTTAAGGTGATACTCTGGGACGCTGCTTCCGGATTGCCGCGCCTACAGCTTGAGGACGAGCTCTCCGCTGCGCTCTGGTCCTGCTCCTCCGTGGGCACCTTCATGTGGAGCGGTGTCTTGGGCTACATGCCCCACTGTTTCGGCGGCTATTCTTCGTCGGCAATGTTCTCGCAAGACAGCTGTTACTTGCTCACGAAGACTTTACCTAAAGATTGGAACTCTGGAGGGTACCCCGCTTGTCTGTGGAATGCCACGACGGGCAAGCTCACTCGAGAGTTTGATGGACATAGCCGCGATGTCACCTCCGTCGCTTTCTCGCTGGACGGTAGACGCATTGCAACGAGCTCCTATGATTGGACTGTCATCGTTTGGGATGCCACCACCGGAGCATCTCTAGCAACGTGTAGGGGACATAAGAAGTGGGTTACCTCGGCCGCCTTCTCTCCAAGTGGAGAACGTGTGGCCTCCGGAGACAGTTGTGGTCGCATTCTAGTGTGGAATACGGAGGGAGGGGAACAGCTCCAGGCGTTCGAGTGGTATATAGATGAAGTATGGTCAGTCGCCTTTACACCGGCTGAGGACGTCATCATCTCCTTCTCAGGCGACAACACCATGCGATTCTGGTGCATCGAATCAGGCGCCTGCCTCCTCGTTCTCCATCCAGACACCTGGTACCGCACCCTGCACCTGTCCCCCGACGGCTCCGGAATCTTACTCGACAACGACAAACGACTTGTTCAGCTGTGGGTTCCTACCAACGCGGACACGCAGACAACGGCACCGCTTCCTTGGCTTCCGCGTCGCACCTGGCCTATATACTACATTGAGGACGGCTGGATATTCTCTTTGGCGCCGTCCCGGCGGACACGGCTGTGCTGGATTCCGCTAGACTGGCGTGGTCTGGTGGGATACCTTGGACATGACGTGGTGTTACAGAGCGGGCATAAGCTAAATTTCTCGAGATTAAGTAGGCGTTTGGAGAGCTTGCATAGTGATCGCGCGCAGTAGTGTATTCCGGACGTACGTTGTAGGACATCTCTCAGACATTTTTCCCAGAAAGAGCCTATATAGAGACATCTGCTGCAGAGCAGAGAAGATTGGAATCGGGCTCGCACTAAATGCGTTGGGGATTTCTGAATGCCGGCTTTCGGGACAAAATATTGAAGCATTGTGGCGCTGCGCACATACGCACAAGCGAAAATTGTGGCGGCCTGTTTGCACAAAAATTAGCGCGGCATATAAATTGAGATCCCGCCGTCAGTTACATAAGCTATCGCCTTCAAACATATTCAGCTCCGCCATGAACACGTTACTCTCACCGATAAACACATTTACTCACCGGCAATCATATACTCTTGGCGGCGAACACATTCGCTTTCGCTTTCGCCAGCAGAAGTGCCCGTCTTCTGTATGCATCTGGCATCATTGCGACAATATTGCTTATCGCCACCCCCGGCCTCCTGCCATTGGGCATATCGTGTCTCTGGCAACATGACTGTTTCCCCTCGAGGTCTGTATGAGGCGCCGCCATTCCATGGTCCCACTGCTGCAGAAACCGCAGACCTAAGCTGTACTCACCAGGTCACAGCTAGTGATTTGACTGGCTCGGCTTCAAGCCAGCAAGCCGGCCAAGCCAAGCCTGCACAAGCTGGGCCAAGCCGAGCCAAAAGAGTGCCGACTTGGAAAGGCTTTTGGCTTGGCTTGCATGTCAAGCCAACCAAGCCAAGCTGACAAGCCGCGGCTTAGGCTTTTATCAATTTTACTCAAGTTAATGCCACTGTATTTGACAGCGGTTGGCATGGTATGGTATGACAGCACGTTGGCTGAGCGCCTAACGTCAAGTTATATCGATCGTGCTTGGGCAGGTCGTACTATGATTGCACCCAAGGTCCGAAACCGACCTTAGTGTTCACACAGCGTCTTGGTATTGTTATACTTGGCGCCTTGCAGGGGAGGCTGTCTGCTGAAGAATGTTGACTATTGACGTGCTTGGCGATGTGGGGGTTTTCCGGAAGTTTTCAGGTCCTGCACCCTTATGGATTGAGCATCGACGAATCAACGATTGTTTCGAACCACCTGTTTGGTATCCTTGCGGCGTCATCATTATGCTACCCATTAAGCAAGTTGAAGGCGACCACAGATGACGCAGAAGCCAAATGAAACGAGCGACAGCTCCACCAGCGGTCCTTCCGCTGCTGATACCTGAAAAATTCTAGCTAACAAGGCTCCCGCGGAACTGGCTACTGTAACACGGAGCGCAGATTGAGAGGATGGTTTTCGGGCGAGGCTAAAGGATGTTTCAGTTTGCCTGCTCCAAAGGTTTGTATCGTTTCACAACTCCAACATGTTAGATGCATAGCCTGAGAACAAATCTCCATTCTCGGAGTTCGCGGTGGAGTGGAGCTTGGCATTTTTCGTGGCCTGGGGATCTGTAGGAAGGCTGCGATCTTACCCAAAACCATCAGCAAAAAAATTGGCAGCATATATAGCCTGGGCAGTCCTGGCAAAGCTAACCTCACTTACAAAGGTAACCATTCTGGGAACAAGTATATCAACGTAGATATAACACCGGTTTGCTTTATCAAACATACCAGTCTGGGATCCTTTAGCATGCATAGCATGCTGGCGAGGTTGGTATGGGCTGGCAAGGGCTGGCAAGGCATTACCAGCGAGCGCCAATCAGGATGCAATAAATCGTTGAATTTTCAAATATATTGAGAGCTGCCTCGCACACAATAACAGAGGACAAAAGTAATATATTTTCAAAGCTACACAAATTACATGGGTGTGGGCAGTAGCTATGAACACGTTGTTAATGTCAAAGCGGCTGCACGCGCGCGTCGCTCGCACTATGGGTGTTCAACGATGGGCGGCTCCCGGAGTGACCATACAGCCAGCGCATGTCGCACGGGGACGATGACAATGTAAGTGTTCATCCTGTGAGAACCCATAGACTGTGATACGTACCACAACTGCGGTGAGCAGATCTTATGGTGTACATCGGGGTGCCATGCGGGAGCGTACCCTGTGCAAGGAGATGGCTTGCTGGACGAGGTAATGGATAAGCCATTGTCTAGCAAGGACCTTTGTGTGAGAAATTAAATAACGAAGTGCATATATGCAGGCTACGCACCTTGTATGAGCCTGTACAAGTGAGACGACAAGGTCATAAGCCGAAGAAGTGCATCGGCATGTATGTACGAACCTCGCATGCTTGAGCCGCTGTATCTTAAACTTGTGTGAGACTTGCACTAAGGGGCGGAAATCAACATTGTCGTCAGTCGGTTGTTCTGTCTGCGGAAATAATGAATCACAAGCTAGGTATAGTATATGCACATACCTCAACACATATTCCACTCAGTGGCACATTGAACATACATTGTCTGCAACAAGCGTTCCGAGCACCACTGGCGCGGCGCTCTGGCCATTGAACGCCGGCAGGTGCGGGTCGGCCGACGAAAGCAAGCCGCTGCCTGTGCCGTCGCCCGTGAGTTTCCACTGTTTGGCTGTCCCGGAACGCACGCAAAAAAGTGTGTCATCAGCAGCAGGAAACTACACATGACACAGAAGAAAGAAGAGACGCACCTCGATTGATCGTGAGTTGTCCGTGAATGCACACGTCGAGGCCGTACAAATGAAGGCGCCAGCAATCAGGCTTCAGGTCCCAGAACGGCGTCGAGTAGTTCGCGGGCACTGTGTATGAGATGTGGCGGTGGCGGCAATGACGGCGGTACAGAGGCCGGGGAAAGGAAGGGGGGATGTCCATTTGATGAGACCTGAGACATGGTGGTGAGGAAGTAAGAGACACGGAGCGACAAGTGCCCTCTATATGAATCAAGATATAAAAGGAAAGACACCAAAAATGAGTTTAGGGGAGGTCAAACAAACCTTGCACTTGTCTCTGAATAGTCGGCATAGAGGCGAAGGTCAGGTCTCTTGGGAGGCGTGTGTGACGTCACGTCACCACCGAGATCTGGGTGAGCAGGTCATGACATGTCTAACGACATCATAATGGGAACGGAATTGCATCGACATACCGGTCTGGGCTGAGATTGCAATGCAATACCAGAGAATACCAGTCTGGTTTTGCCTGGCCTTGCATTGCCAGCGTCCACCAGACTGCTAGGTGCTTACCTAGTAACCCTTCCCTGATCTACGACTGATTTTTTTGCTGATGAACGTCCAGGGCTGCTATGGAGAAGGCGAGCACCGTTGGGCTTGGGACGCGCCCAAAAATGTGCCGTGTGTTACCACACTATGTCCCGCGACTCGTTCGTCCACGATATCTGCAACCTAGAGATCGAAAAGGAGCCAAAAGGCGAAGCTATGGCCACGGTCCGGCGTCTTCGGCTAGACGCTTGAAGCGCCCGAAAAGCGCCGGATCAGTCTGGTATCCCAACACGGATCAAAGGCAGCGGAAACGACGTATTGCAGGCCGGATTTTGATTTTTACCCGATAATATTCTTAATAAGGGAGGATCCGACCCAAGTGATTTGACAAAAAGTAAGATCTGCTGACATGTTATGCACGATGTATTCTGAAACATGGTCCAGTTAGTACAACGCTCTGTAGGCGGCTGTAGAAAAGCATACGAGAAGATGTTCCACTTCATCGCCCCGCCTGTGCATTCGAAACATCTTGACTGTTGATCGCAGCCACAGCACTGGGGCGGGGTTGTGGTCAGGAAGCTTTTATAGGTCCACGTAAAGATTGCCCACGTCAAGCTAACCCTACCGTCGCCAGCATGTCCTTGGACCCACCAACGCTCACGTACGGCCTCATCCTGCTGGGGACGGCATTATACTTCTTGAACTGGCTCAAAGAGTACAAAGCAAGTAACTACCACTGTGCCATCAACGGTATTCTGACCTCCGTGTAGCTCAGGAATGTACCTGCGCTAGGACCGACCGCACCGCTGCTCTCTTACTGGGGAGCATGCAAATTCATGACCAATTGCCAGGAAATGCTCGCAGAGGGGCATACGAAGGTATGCTGCGCATGGTCTCCGCTGCGCTTCTGCTAACAAGGGCTTCTACGCGGCAGTTCGGCGGGAGACCGTTCAGGATGGCAACTTTCCGACATTGGCAGTATATTGTCTCAGATCCTAAGCTCCTTGACGAGCTGCGACGAGCACCGGACGACGAGCTGTCTTTCGTTGAAGCCGTGTCCGAGGTCAGCATTTATGACCTACTGATCAGCAAAGCAAGCAAACCTGATCTTTCCTGCAGGCCCTGGAGCTCGAATACGCAATGGGCGTGGCGGCACCCAAAGATATGTATCATGTGCCCATTATCAGGACGACGCTCACACGCAATCTGAGCCACCTCTATGGAGGGATCTATGAGGAGATATGCAGCGCATTTGCAGACTGCATCCCCGTGAAAGATGGTAAGCATTCAATTGCGGCCCATTCACGCGCACGTTCATCAGAGATTCTGGCCGCATAGAATGGACTGCCGTGCCCGCAATGGCTACCATCATGCAGGTTGTCGCTCGGACGAGTGCTCGCATCTTCGTTGGTCTCCCTCTCTGTATACCCTTTTAATGTTCTCCGCTGCGGTTGTGTTGACGGTAGAATAGGCCGTAATCAAGAATTCTTGGACATCAGCGTCAATCACACAACAGACGTCGTCAAGACTGGGCTTATACTTGGCGTGTTGCCCGCTTCCCTCAAGCCGTAAGTCGCCACCCCGCATTCGAAGATCACTACTCCCTAAATGACGTCTTGCAGGATTGTGAATCGCCTGATCAACAGGGTCGACAGGACCATTGACCGTACGTATGATTTGCTGAGCTCCACGATCGACGAGCGGCGAAGCATGATGGAACAATATGGAGATGACTGGCCAGACAAGCCTGTAAGTCGTGCATTCTTGCAATTTGGCCTGCAGCTAAACTCCTGTGGATCAGAATGATCTGCTCCAGTGGCTCATGGAAGCTGCAGAAGGGGCCGAGCGCGAACCGAGGGCCCTGGCAGCTCGTTTGCTTATGGTCGACTTTGCCGCCATTCACACGTCTTCCATGGTAGGCCACGAGTCTTGGTTCCCTCGACACTGTGCACTGACTATCCGGTCCTTCAGAGCTTCACTCATGCATTGTATCACCTGGCTGCATACCCAGAGTATATCAAGCCGCTACGGGAGGAAGTCGAAGGTATCATTGCGGAAGACGGCTGGTCAAAGGATTCGCTACAGAAGATGCGTAAGGTCGACAGCTTCCTAAAGGAGTGTCAACGGTATGAAGGTATCGGTAGCTGTGCGTTTTGCGTCTCATAACAACGATCGCATGCTCAATACCCTCGCATAGTATTCCTTGAACGCAAGGTGCTGAAGGACTATACCTTCTCCGATGGCACGTTTGTCCCCAAAGGCAGCTGTGTCTCAACCTCGAAGATGGCAACACACGACCAGCGCGAGTACTACGATGATCCGTGCGTCTTCAAGCCGTGGCGCTTTTCCGACGTGCGCGATGAGACAGACGAAGGCACGAAGCACCAGATGGCTAACACAAGTATGGAATACCTTCCGTTTGGCGTCGGAAAGCACGCCTGGTGAGTTTTATCTCTAGGCCTTTGTGGTCGGTGCATTGAAGACTGTTGTAGCCCGGGACGGTTCTTTGCTGCGAATGAGCTGAAGACCATGATGGCGCATCTTGTGGTAACGTACGACGTTCGCATGGAGAAGCCAGAAGAGATTCCGCGCATGCTCTGCTTTGGCCCTACCACATCGCCAAATCGAACAGCGAAGGTTCTGTTCAAGAAGCGGAAGGACTGAACCGCATTGATTCAAACGATCTGTTATCAATTGTACTCAAGTTAATATCACTATGTTTACTGGCGGTCAGCATGATATGGCATGACACGACGTTGGCTAAGCACCTGACATCGCACCAAGTTATGTCGATCCCAGGCATTGTGTTTGGGCAGGTCGTACTATGATTGCGTAAAGGTCTGAATCCGACCCTAGTCTCCATGCAGCGTCTTGATATTGTTATTCCTGGTAGTATGTCGCAGAGCCTGAGGAGGCTGTCTGATGTGGAGATCGTCGACTACTGAAGCAAGAAACTCTAACGTGCTCAGCGATAACGGAGTTTTCTGGACGCTTTCGGGCTCGGAATCTTGTGCACCTCAAAGCTTGAACATCGACGAATCGACGAATGCTTCGAATCATCTGTTGAGTATCCTTGCGGCGTCGTCATTATGCTACCCATTAAGCAAGTTGAAGGCGACCACAACAGATGACGCAGAAGCCAAAATGAAACGAGCGACAGCTCCACCGGTGGTCCTTCCGCTGCCGCTATCCCGACAATTCTGGCTGATCAGACTCCCGCGGAACTGGCTGCTGTAACACAGAGCGCAGATTTAGATGATTTTCAGACGCTTGATTATGTTTTGCCTGCCCCAAAGATATGTATCGTCTCACGACTCTAACATATCAGATACATGGCATCCCCTGACCGCCGAAACGCCAGAAAAACCTCTGTTCTCGGAGCTCGTGGTGTTGTGGCAAGTGTTGTGGAGCTTGGCTTGTTTCATAGGATCTGTCGGATTGCGATAGTGCATAAAGCGGTCAGGGCCATGAGGAGGTGAGGATTGTTGGGTGTGGGATACGCCCAGCAATGTGCCGCGGATTATTGATTACCACCCGGGGCCGCGACATCATTCTACGGATCACCGGACGCTTCAAAAATACTAGATGTCTACGGTCTACCGGATTGAAGCACCATTTACGGAATGGAAGCGTTTTGGGCAGAATGCTGCCCAACGAGAAGCAGACATACAACGGAAATTGAGTGAGTACGTACAGATAAGTCCTCTTCGCGCCAGTCCATGGCCTAACTGACCTGCACTGCTCAATTTTTAATTGTCTGATTTATTTTGATTCCAGGGAAGCCGCTCTACTATAGACTGATATCGTCCGCTGCATCCAGATAAATGGCACATTGTGTACAGGCAGGCTATCGCGAGGTTCGGGGCTGCGTCTAAACATTACTGTGTGGATTGTCCAACAGCAGTCAACTAAGGGTGTGCATATTCGCGCACCTGAGCCCCAGTCTCTATCCACTTCTGACTAACAACTTTCTGCACCTCGACAAGCACAGGCATGGCCGCCTGTTCCTTATTTGAGACTGGATATGGTGGTGGTACTCTGGTTCGGCAATCGAGTGCTACTCGCAGGGTTGTGCCAGCACGGTAACATGCACGGAAAACCATGCAGACGAGGCATAGGGTATGTGTAAGAGCTAGTATCTCAACAAGTGCCTGTGTAGGGACGTTACATGCTGCCGAGCCGAGGTTGACTCATGGTGGACGTCGAGGAGTAGAGGACGCCCAAGTTGGGATCAATCTGCTCCGACTAAAAACGGCGGCGGATCCCGGCCTGCGCCACAAAGCCCTTGAGCCGAGAGGCTTTCCGCAGCATGTCATTCCTGAGATGGCGGAGAGTTCAGTTTGCTCACGAATCTACATGGTGCAGGCTGCACGAAGGTCACATGAAGCTGAGCAAGCAGCAGAACGAACACTTATACCTCCCACCACAGTCCTTCCACCGAGTCACGACGGCGATGCATACATATCTCTCTAGCCCATGTCTCGCCACACGGCTCCAGTGTGGCAACAGGTATTCATCTGCAGGCCAGAACGCAGTGATATCGAGCCCTGAGCGGGTATCGGGTCACCGTGTTCTAAATCATGCACCAAAGCAGCATTTCCGAAAACAGTAGAAGATTGAGTCTCGTCTGCGCAACTGCGTTAGGTGGCAAATCGCATCACACCATTCGCGCTGTGGCCGCGGTGGCGAGCGTGAGACAGGTTAGGACAACCGTTCGATGCTGAATTCGACAATGATTCAGCTGCGTCCGCCAGAGCTTAGCCGCCCGGTCAGCACGGGTCGTCGCAATAGAGGGCAGCGTAAAATTTAAAATTAGCATTACGAAAACTAGCGACCACAGCTAGCGCAATGGAGAACCACACTGCAGGCTGCAGCGATGGCGCCAACGAATCAGCCATGAACGAGTTATTGGTAGCAGGGACGGACCTCAGATCACTCCGGCGGACTCTCGCAGCTCGACGGCGCCTTGACTCGACTGAATGCGGGACCGCCCAAATATTTGTTTCCACACTGCTTTGAAAGCGAACGCAGTGGGCAGCGGGCCCGTCTGGCCTGGTGTGCTGGGGCGCTGGCCTCGACGAGTACAATGGATATGCCGCTGTGCTGGGCGGCCTAGTTCCAAACCGGCCGGTGCTATTGGTGCTTTCAGATTCGGAATCAACTCGGTGCTTTCCAGAGGTTCAGGCGGGAACAGCGCAGGGATTTGGTTGCCGGTGCAATCAGGCATCGGAAGCGCAAGGAGCCCTTCTCAGCTTGGTTCGCTACAGGCTCCTCGATCTGGACCTGTCCAGACGCCTGTATTAGAAGTAGAGCACTCTCGAGGGATGAACAGGCGCACCAGCTTCTGGTATGCCGTGCCGCTATACGGTACCTCCGGGTGCAAGCAAGACTTGTGGCGCACCACCGCTTCGTGACGTTGCTACTCGACGGAGTGGTGCATTTATGTCGCATACGGTGTCGTACGAGATCTTCTCGTCACCGAGCCTCGACTGAAGAAACCCACCTTTGGCTGTGGCGCACGGAAAATTGTACACGCGCTCGACGTCTTGAGATTTAATGGCGCGGAGTCGCCTTTTGAGGGATGCGTAACAGCACAAGGTACAGGAATAGATGGCCTTCATGAGTCGCACGTCTTGTTACACCCTTGAGCATCAGCTTGCGGAACATCGTGGCGTGAGTGGAGATCCTGAATCCGGATGTCATGCTGCTGGTTATCAGATGGCGGTCAACTGAGAGTAAGATTGTATGTGCACCTAAGCCTGAGTCTCACGATGTACCTTTAACCAGCGACCCTCCTGGCTCGTACCCCGAGATATGAGCTGAGGAATCTGCCCGACTGCCAACGCGACAAGAAATGTACAGTCAAATGAAAAATCAACATAGGGTTCTCGTAGATGTATAAGAGTAAATACGCTAACTTTTGCAGCCGGGGCACGACAGCAGTTCTTGGACTTCGAGATCAGAGAGGGCGAGGGTCTGTCAGATCGCCGAGGTGCTCGTTACTTGTGTCCAGGAGAAAGGGAGGTTAAGACAGGCGCAGGATACTGTTTAGAGTCATGGTGCGTCGAGAAAAGGCTATATCCAGCCAATTGCAGCACAGCAGAGGTCGACTCGTAGTGGATACGGACGAAGAGAGCCAAACGTCGGCGCTTTGTGGCATCCACCTTCCGGGTAGCCGCCGGCGCTCCGAAGTCCGAGCCCGAACGGATTGAGCCCGACTGCCGCATCCTGCCTATTCCGCGTGTTCTCAGTCACCATCTTTCACATGGTTTATATATACTCAGATCTCGTTCTCATTCGACCCGTGGACACCTGGCGCGAGCGACACTTTGAACTGAAGGACCGTCGTCGTTTTCGCCCGGCGTAACAGCTACTAGAGCCACGCGCTTTCTTGTTGCGAAGATCCTTGCGAACGAGAAGGAATACAAGTATTTCGTTGTCGACATCAACTAAGACATACTGTGAGCAAGACTATGGCTGGCCTGTAAGTGCTCCTGGCGGTGTATTACAGCCAACAATATTGACGGCTCTCTGTAGGGTTACTAATATTGACACTTTGCTGACATTCGTCCTCGTGTATATTCTAAAGATCGACCACCGCCGGGATACGAGACGTCATTCACTAGGTTATGCCAGACCCATGCATTATTTCTGACGCGAATGCTCCTGTCAGAGAATGCAAGGTATATGTGCTCGTTCAGCAGCCTTTCCCCGCCATCCACCAGTCCTCGCATGGTACCAGAGTATTTTTCGCACCCCTGGTATGTGTTATTTAGAAAGAACGACTCTGCCAAGTCAGGAATGACATCATTGTCAGACGACGGGGATATCGTCTTCGCTGTCTATGGACCTCAATTTGCGAAAGTGTCGAGCGAAGACTCCCGACGGTGGGCATTTGGCTGATATTCTACGCTCATGCACTCCTGACATGCTTGAGATAGGACCAGTACGCAGGCTATACAGTCTGCCCCATGCTGTGCAGTACGCCCGATCAATGTTCGTCGCTGTCATAGAAGACCTTGCTGCAAAGCCCGGCGCAATTATCGTCTCTAGTGAAGCTTCGATGCCAACCTCGTTCGACAAGCTATGCATTCCACGTAAGATCAGGTGGGAGGCCGCTTGGATTATCAACGCGGAACGACCGTCTTGGGACATGCTTACGCAAGAATCTCGCTCGTGGGGAGCGAGAGCAAGTACCATTACCGCGTACCAGCGCTGCTGAGCAAGTGGTGTGAGGCGCATGACTGGCAGTGCGGAAAGATCCAGCACGCATTCCGTCTCCGGCTCTCGCTTCACTGGCTCGCGGCTCTGCGCCGATGCACTTCATTTTTGGCCCACATACGGCACAGTGGCTGCCGATTTGACTATGTCAAGGACGTTAACAGCCTACATATCAAGGCCAGGCAGGCAGGCAGCCTGGAGCACCCCACGTCTTGTAAGCACTACCGGTTCATGTATGCGTCGTACAGCCGCCAACATGCCTCTAGTATCCCCAGCGCGCCTCGCGAGACTCACCCTAGGCGCCCAGCGTTCTCGCAGCCACCGAACCTCTCTTCGGCCAGAATCAGCTTGCGCACCCTGCCATTGAGGCTAATCAGCTCCTCTCTTCTTGCGTCCCGATTGCACCACTTACAACATGTACATCGCTCCTTATCTGCACCGAGCTGTACGCACACCTGGACAGTCTACTCGCGCGTTCAGTAAAACGAGTTTATCGATTATTACCCCGAACTTGTGCGCCTGGCGCGCTGCCATTCAGCCTGCTACGCCGCCGATTCCTCGGCTTCGCAATGCGCAGTTGCAAGACGAGAAAGGGTGTCGGCGTCAGTGTCCCCGGCTATCGGGTAGGGAGATGAGGAGGAGGTTGAGCAGGATTGCGCAGGCGACGTGGACGAGGAAGTTATAAGCGACATTTATAAGCTTCTCTTCTGTATCGTTGATATCCGTGTTAACGTCACAATTACAGATTTGGCCCGTTGTTCTCGGCATCAATGGCCTCTAATTACCCAAGTGCAGGCATGTTCGCCTCAGCGCCCGTCATGATGGCCAATCGGCGTCCGCCGAACACGCCTTCTCTGGCTCGTGACATGGTTCTTCGCAACCTTTGAGCATGGTAGTTACGTGGCTGTGAAATGGGTCGTCGCTTGAACCCACTCCGTCAGCAGCTATGCGCCGTCTGAAAGAGAAGCTGCAGAGCAGCAAGGTCCCCGACACCGCCATCGGACACCTGAAGCAAGCTCTCGACGTATTCAACGACGTTGCCGGTAATGTTGGGGTGCCGGGATTGCAGATAGGCGTGGGCATTCTTTCGACCGTGCTGGCGATGGTTCAGGTATGCGCCGAGTACTGTTCTCTCGGTGACGCTTCTGACATCGAAACTAGAAATCGAATGCGAACACAGAAAGCATCAAGGAGCTGGCTACGAGGGTTGAAGAGCTGACGAAGATGGTGCAGGAGAGTACGGAACTGCACGGCAAAAATATATCTGCTCCGATGCAGGCCAGAATTACGCGATTGCTGGAGTGAGTCTGCCGTTGATTGCACATGTTCAAGTTTCTGATGTCGCACAGGTCATGGAACACAATTAATGCCGAAGCTGAGAGTCTCAAGTCCCGGCGGAAAATATGGAGAATAATGGGAAGCGACGAGGAAGGAGAGAAGGTCACAGGTCTAGTGCAAAGGGTGTCTTTGTCAATTGATATTTTCACGGTAAGCAACGTCTCATACCTCTGGAACTCCGTCCCTCTCGCTGATGTGATGCCTCGAATTACAGGCCGGTGGTGTGATTGCGATCGAAGCTGCCGTGAACGTATGTGTTGGACATGTCTTAGTCACCGATGCGGACGTTAACATTGGACCAAAAGCATCATGCACATGTCTCCAAACAAGACTCGCGGAGAGTAGAAAGAAGGATAAATGCCCTCCGAGATGATGCTCAAGTGAGGACTTCTCAGCGGGTATACAGACTATGACCTAACGTTACAAATATTAACTTTGGACCAAAAGCACCATGCGCATATCTCAAAGCAGGACTCGAAGAGGGTAGAGGCAAAGATAGATGCCATTGTTCAAGTGAGAATTTCTCACGAATGGGCAGACTGCGACCTGACGCTTGGTCATTTTTAGCACTTGCCAATTCGCTGGAAAGGTGTGCTTAAGGCAATCATTACTGCAACACCATTGTTCTGACTAATTTCTCTAGGAAGCTTTGTACCGCCCCATGCGGCCCGGGCGCAATTCGACAGTTATTCAGAACGTAATGCTTGCCTCGACGGGACGCGGACCGATATCCTAGGAGCCATCTTCACCTGGGCAGCCGGTCGCCTCGGGCGGGCACCTGACAGAACAGCCAATCTTGCCAGAAGCTCTACTCACCGGCAACCCAACATCCTCTGGCTCAACGGCGCGCCCGGCACCGGCAAGACGACGATATCGTATACCGCCGCAAAACGGTGGCATGACCGCGGCATCTTAGGCGCAAGCTTCTTCTGCTCCCGATCTGGCGCCGATTGCAGCAAGCCCTCGATGATCTTCACTACTATCGCCTACCGCCTCGGACTGTTCTACGAACCTTACAAGGACCGAGTTATGGAGATACTCATGAAGGATCCCGATCTCGTAAACTCTCAAATCTCCCGCCAGTTTGAGGAGCTCATATTGCGGCCGCTGGCGCTCTTCCGCGATAAATTTCCTCCATGCGTCGTAGTAATCGATGCTCTCGACGAGTGTCGGCAACCCCAAGTCACTTCTACAATTCTGTCTACTCTGCTTAGACACGCAGAGGATCTCTTGCCGCTCCGATTCCTCGTCACCAGCCGGCCCGAACGGGATATTGTTACCACTTTTGACGCTCCCGGCTACTGTAATGCATTTGGCAAGCTACTCCTACACGCAATCGAATTGCGGCTTGTCACCACTGCAGACATCAAGCGGTACTTGACGGTGTCCCTGTCAGAGATCAGACGATATTTCGACTTGGCCGAGTCCTGGCCCAAAGAAGCCGATATCGAGATACTCAGCAAAATGGCCAATGGCTTGTTTATCTATGCTGCGACCATCGTCAAGTTCATCGGCGATCGAGAGTACGGCGATCCGGTCGGACAGCTGAAGACTCTCATATTCACCACGCATCTTGGCGGCTCCCACCAGCTGCTCGACCAACTATACCTACAGGTGCTCGACACGGCCTTTCCTAGCATATCGGCGAGTCTCTCAGATCGAATCAAGACCGTGCTTGGCTCGATCGTTGTCATCAAGGATCCCCTTCCCCCCACTGGCCTGTCGCGGCTGCTTGGGCTCTCCACCGACACCGTACGCAGCTCCCTGGCACGTCTTCACTCTGTGCTCATCGTACCGGCTGCTCGAGAGTCTGCGGAGAATATCCATATAATCCACCCGACATTCGCCGAGTTCCTGCTCGACCCGAGCCGCTGCACGAACCGTGCATTCACCGTCAACTCGCGGCGACAGAACACGCTGCTACTATGGAGGTGTCTTCGTGTGCTGAAGAAGCTGAAGCGAGACATCTGTGACATCCGAGACCCTTCCCTGCTCAACATCGAGGTTCCAGGCCTGCTGAACCGGATGGAGAGCGCGATCCCTGCACACCTGCGGTATGCATGTCGGCACTGGTGCACTCATCTACTCAACGGCGAGCAGTTGGACGAGATTCTGGACATGCTTCTTGAATTTGTACAAAGGCATCTGCTACATTGGGTGGAGGCGTGCAGCCTTCTCGGACTGTTAAGGGACGTCATCTCAGGCATCAACCAGGTCCAGCGGAAGCTCAGGGTGAGTGCACTTTACTCTCGAGTATAGCTCATACATCTAAAATCCCGGGCAGGATGTTGACGATCACCGAGCGAAGGACATTGTTGTTCTGTTGAATGACTGCGAACGCCTGGTTGTCGGCTACTTTCCTGCGATCAGCGGCTCAGCGCTACAGCTGTACTATTCGCTCCTATCATTCATCCCGACGAAGACCGCACTCGCACGGACATATGCGCACAAGTGTTTCTCCGAGATCTCTGTCAAGATCTTCGGCAGTGTGCCAGGCATGTGGAACGCTTGCTTGGGCACAGTCACCGCAGATGGCTGGGTCTTGTCGGTCGACTTCTCACCGGACGGTAGGACGATTGCCTCATCAGGACGGGACGGCAAGATACGGATTTGGGACGCGCTGACGTGCGCCCTGCTATCAGTCCTCTCCGGTCATTCCGAGAAAGTTTTCTCTGTCAAGTATTCTCCAGACGGCGCTCGCATAGTGTCTGCTGCTGCGGACAGAACAATCAAGATCTGGGACGCAGTGTCCGGCGTGCTCCTCCGCACCCTGGAAGGGCACACGGACGACGTGAACTGCGCAGTCTTCACACCCAACGGCGGCCGTGTCGTGTCTGGTTCCGGGGATTGTTCCCTCAAGATCTGGGACACGGAGACGGGTGCCTGTTTGAAAACACTGACCGCACACGGTGACGGGATCGAATCCGTTGCGGTATCTCGGGACGGCCGTTGGATGGCGTCAACCTCGCAGTACCGAGCCGTTCTGTGGAGCCTAGAGGCGCCGGCATACACTCATCGTGACGTGATAGCTCCTGAAGAGGAATGCTTCTGTGATCATGCCGTTACCTTCACGCCAGACAGCTCCCAGATTTTGATCGCATCGTGCATCGAAGACACCAAGTCGTCCGTCGATGACTCCAAGTCGGGGTGGCTGTCAGTCTGGGATGTTGAGCCCGCGAAGCACCTCCGCTACCTCCGGCAATCAGGCCGATCGTTTTGGCGGATCTGCAGTCCCAGCTTTCCTTCGAGCCGGTAATACTGTCCTCGTCTGGAACTTTGCCCGCGGCAAGGTTCGACAGGAGTTCTCTGGTCACACCGATTGGGTCTGGAGTGTCGCTTATAACCACGACGGGACTCGCATCGCGTCTGGCTCGAGGGATGGCACTGTCCGGCTGTGGGACGCGACGCAATCTGCGGCGATCAAGCCACGACCCGAGTATGCCAGCAACCCACCCAGTCTGTCCAGCGAGAAATCAGCGGGCTACTCCTCAGTCACTTTCTCTCACAACACGAGGCGTGCGCTGATGGTTTCCAAGGACTGGCACAGTACCAGCATCGAGGTAGCGAAGACTGATTCGTGGGACCGCGCATGCAAGCCACTGCCCGTGCCTTCGAAACATTGGCAACTCGCAGCGTTCTCACCGGACAATGCAGCGATCCTTACCGCATCTGTGTCGCAGGGATATCATGGCGTGGTGGCTCTCTGGGACGCTGCTTCCGGGACACCGCGTCTCCGGCTTGAGGGCAAGCTGGACACTGCGCAGTGCCCCCCTTGTTTCGAGCACCCCTTCACGCGGACCAGTGTCTTGGGCTACACGCCTCACTGCTTCGGCGGCAAGTCGTCATCGCTCATGTTCTCGCAAGACAGCCGCTACCTGCTCATGCCGAATTTATCCGCAGCCGGAGACCATCATTCCGCTTGTCTCTGGGACATTGCAACAGGCAAGCTCATTCGCAAATTTGTCGGACATACGGATATAGTCTGCTCCGTCGCCTTCTCGCTGGACGGCAGACGTATCGCAACGAGCTCAGAGGATACGACTGTCGTCATTTGGGACGTTGCCACTGGAGCATCTCTGGTGACGTGTAGGGGCCACAAGGGCCCGGTTCACTCTGTCACCTTCTCTCCCAGTGGAAAACGTGTTGCATCCGGAGGCTTTGACAACCTTGTTCTGGTGTGGAATGCAGAGAGAGGGGACCTGCTCCGAGAGCTGGAGGGCCACGCTTACGCGGTGTCGTCGGTTGCCTTTGCTCCCGGCGAGGACGTCATCATTTCCTCCGACTGGCGCAGCACCATGCAACTCTGGGACGCCAAATCTGGTGCTTGTCTCCTCGTCCTCGACCCACACACACACCTGGTACCGCACCCTACACCTGTCCCCCGACGGCTCCGGAGTCCTAGTCGACGGCGGCAAACGACTTGTCCGGCTGTGGGCCCCTGTCGATGCGGACGCACAGGTGACGACCCGGCTCCCATGGCTTCCGCGCCACGCCTGGCCTATATACTACATCGACGACGGCTGGATCTTCTCATTGACGCCGTCCCGGCGGACGCGGCTGTGCTGGGTTCCACCGAGCTGGGAGGGCTTAGCAGGATACTATGGGCACGATGTGGTATTTGGAAACGGGTATAAGCTAAATTTCGCAGCGTTGAGTAGGTATCTAGAGAACTAGCACAGTGATCGCACGTAATACTATGTTCGGAACGTTGTGCGCCTTCGCGTAGCATAGATAGAGCATATTTCGATGGTACAGGCCCGGGGATACGTCATCTCTAAGTAAAATGTATCACATTCATCAATGTATGACATGCGTATGAGTGGTGTTACATGGATGCCGTGATAACAGTCCATCTGATCTGTGAAGGCGGTGAAAGTTGTGGCACGGACGTCAAAGTCGTGAAACAATGGGCGAGCTTGGCTGGTCGGCAGACGGCAGGTTTTATCGGCGAACAACCACAGCCAATGCCAAGCGACACTAACGGCGACCATGAAGCGATGCTCCGCGCGAGCTCGTTGCCGCTCGTCTTGAGGACCTCGAGTCCGAGTGACCAAACACTTGGTCTTGCCCTTGCATGCGGCGTTTGACCTGATACTCACTGGTCCCATGCGAGGCTAAACCACAACAACCGCTCCTACTACTGATGCAGTGTCGACCCTCTGCGCTGCGTCGGCCGGGAATCGGCGCCGGTAGCAGACGGCACGGCACCGCGAGGCCTTCTGACGTGCCCTCTGCGGTTATTGTGCTCGCACCGCACCGGTCAGGCGCCTCGACGTTCTCCTCGTCTTCCTCAGGGTCGTCGAGAGCGCAAGTCGGCTCGGCGCCGCCGTGGCTGAAGTGTGGAGTTGGAAGACTCGTACCAGCCAGTGAAGACGCGCTGTCGCGGAGGAGGGAGGGGGGGGGGGCGAGGCGCGAGGCGCGAGGCGTTCAGGTATTTGAGGTGCGTGAGGATCAGCCTTGGAGAGTCATCGAGTCATTATAGACACGATATAAACGGCTATTAGAATTGATGGAGATGGGGAAGATGCTATCTTCGAGCAGCAGGAAGGGCATGGGCGTTAGGAGAGCGGGAGTGGAAGGTGACGTTGTTGCTGCCGTACCCACAGGGCAGCGTCGTAGGAGGCCTCGCAGGCGCACGCAGAGTTGGGGCTCCACTTTGTCCTCGTGTTGTCCCAGTTCTCGATGAAGAACACCTAGGAAAGGTGGACGTTCATGCCAGTAGCGATGACTTCGTGTTGCTGATCGTGACCGCCCACAAACACACGTGGACTCGCTTGGCCCGAGAGTCTCGAAGGAGCGCAGAAGTATAGATATCCACTCGGTTCGTCGGGTGGGCAAAACACGACCTGGCTCGCAGAGCATCGTGCGCTGCGAGGAAGATTGAGCACGAGGCACTCATATTTGCAAATGAAAGATGGACATACATATGGGCGTTGATCCCTGAAGACAGCCATGCAAGGATGACCATCCGCTTCGTATCGTTCGCACGCAGGATGATCGAGTACGGCTGGACCATTTTGCTGATGTGTATTCAAGGATCAACGGACTAGTCATACACGACGCTCTGCAAAGGCAGAAGGGTGTGCATCTTGAGCGTATCTGGTCGAACTTGAGTTGGTATTTCCTTGGAGCCGGGAGAGGAGGAAAGCCGAGATGTGGTCTTAAGCGTGACAAAGCGACGCAGACACGAAAAGTCTTCTTGGTTTGCGTCTTCGCACGCTATCTTCTGGCATTTGTCTGTCCTATTATCTCAGTGAGAAGTGGAAGTTGCATTGAGAGCATAACGAACGCACGTGCTTCCGAGTCGCTCCGCAAAAATGTATCAGAGATCAGTTACCCATGCGCTTCTTCTTGTCATGGTCCTTCAGCGCGAGAAGACTGCACTCAGCATTGGGCGAGATATTGTCGTCCTCGAGCTTCTTCTTGTACGCCGTCTGATGCCGCTCGTGGGCCTTTCGGGATGACTCGAAGCTTGAGACTCGGCGGAGACCGTCCTCCCGCAATGTGTTCTCGTGGATGATATAAGCACCCTTCTTGCTACGTCTGCATTGAGAGTATTCAGCCGCATCGCCGACAGCCATCATCGTTCGGAAGGACTCCAGCTTGGCGACGGCGCATGACATGTGGTAAACGGACGGGCCATCGTGACGTTCGGCGTCGCACCGCGAAGTATTTCTATGAACTGTCAGCTAGCGGCTTGAGAAAAAGTGACTATATGTGCGCACCTGGGCCTCAGTTTCATGCTGTGGTTCCTACGAGCGACCTCTCCCCTCATGTGTTGCTGCCCCGGCTTGAGGAGCACGAATCTGGCAGCCCAGTGGACTCAGCGTGATGTTGAGACTTTGACTTCGAGAGTGTGGGGTAGTGTCACTCGCAGCATTGTGCCAGCGGTGGCACGCAAGGAGCAAAACAGGTCAGATAAAGGGCAGAACGTGATTTAGAGCCAATTGCTCAAGAAGAGGCTGCATAGAGACGTCTGTTATGGGGCGGGGACCGACTCATGGCGAGCATGAAGGAGTAGAGAAGAGCGAGGTCGAGGTCGATCTGCTGGATCTGCTGGCACTAAAAGCGTCGGTGAGTCCCGAACGCCACAAGGCCTCGGTGTTTTATTCGAGTTCCGCCGCTTCCGCTTTGTCTGAGACTCATCGAACCCGCGCGCCACGAAGACACTCGCGATATCACGGAGCACGCGGCCGCCACACTTGTCAGGTGAGTTGGCTGGAGGTGACACACCGAGGCTCCAGGACCCCTCAGTCCCCGGCCCCTGGTCAGTACGCAGCCGTTTCGACCTCTTGATCATCATACACAGTACGGCATTCATTTGACTGTATATCTCCATTGTGTGCATGAGCCTAGCAAATGGTCGCGTTTTACGACGCTGGTACGATATAAAGCGTCTCCCAGCCATCCACGAGTTGACAAGAGCGTGCGCTGCGCCTACCTCGTATCTGTCGGCGTGCCGTGCTTCGTCTCAGGCATCACAGTGGGCTGCGCTGCCGCTGGGGACGGTCGGACGGCTCGGAGCAGCACAAGCACAGGTGCAGGGCATGCGCCAGGCCAAAGGACGTCTTCCCGAACGTGTGAACACGAGACCAAGGTCCCGACCACTCCTCTTGACTTCTTGTCTCCGCGATTCGAGCACTGGCCACTGGACGATGTAAGTCTACATATATCGCCCCTGTAATGTAGAGCAACACATATCCTGTTGTACCAAGCGCTTGAGATGTCGTGAAGCGGTGGTTCGGTCAGCATAAAGAGCATCAGAGATTAGAATACGGGCTTGCCCTGGACGAGGGCTCACCTGAGTGCGTACCATAAGAGTGCAACGAAGACGAAGAATGAGTTCTCGAGTGATTAAGGAAATGCACAGAGGGCAATGCCTGTGGCTGTTGTCTTGAACGACCTCGGGATAGCATAGGCGGCGAGCTGATTCTGCTCACGGACTCTGTGTAGATTGCTTAAAGGTCAGGCACTGCTGAACAGGCGGCAGAGCAAGTATTTATGCTTCTACATAGAATCACACTGTTAGTCACAACGGCGATACACCCCATTTCTCGCTGCGCAGCTCTGGCCGGCATTCATCTGAAGGCTGAGGCGCAATAATAGCGAGTAGTAGATTGGAATGTACCTCCACTCGGCATCTCCATGACACGTATAGGCACTCGCAGAGACCGGACCTCGTCTGTGCGGCTCCCTTCGCTAACGGCTCGCGCCACGCCATCCGCACCGCGCAAAATCACGGCGGCGAACATTATGAACGAAGCACGGTCCAACATCTCAGATAAGCCCGTCTGCGCACATTCGACGCCAGGTTCGACGATGCTCAGTGCTCATTTGGCAGAGCAGTGCAACAAGATAAGGCAATGAAAACTTGGCATTGCAAAAATTCGCGAGTTACCGACAGGGTAAAGGAGCAACAAAGGTTTTGTACCGCCGACAAGTTGGCCGTGAACGAGACTTTGGCAACAAGGACGGACCTAACACCGCTGCAACAGGCCCTCGTCGCTCGACGGCGCCCTGACTTTATCGAATGCTCGACTCAATGCCCAACTGCCGGAATCGTCGTTATTGCCCTGGTTCGGAAGCGGGCGCGGTGCCTTGCGGGCTCGTTTGACTTGGCGGACTGGGCGTTGGTCTCGACGAAGGTAATAAATACGAAGGTGATAGATACATGCGCTGGCCTGACACGACCTGACCTTAACCTGGCTAATGCAACCTTCGAGACCGGGCGGGAGCAAGACGAGGATCTGGTCGTCGGCATGATCGCGCGGCAGATGCGCAAGGAGCTCTTCTTCGTTCTGTTTTTGCGACGGATGTCCCTGCGCCTGGACCTGTCCTGGTGCCTGTGTCAGACGCGCATTGGTCTCGCAAGTCAAGCATACGCACTAGCTTCTGGCACGCTTCTGCGCAATACACCGATCCCAGCTGCAAATGACGCTTGCGATGCACCGCTCCGTGATGCTGCGCGACGACGCGGCGATGCATTTACGTCGCATACGGTAATACACGAGATGTTCTCGCTCCCGAGCTTCGGTTTGTTGTTCGCGTCATACGCCTTCCTGTGCCTGTTGTAACCCATTCTGGATGGGGCAAAGTGAGATGCGAGACTCGGTGCGGCCAGTCTTCCTGAGGCGCAGTCGAATGGGAGGTGAAAGCGGAGGTGTCCCTGTCGCGCACTTGCGCTACGTCTTCAGCTGCTCTACCGACGGCCAGCGCGGCCTCGAAAAGTCCATCTGTACGGCCTTGCTCGTCGTCCTGGCCGAGGAGCACAGGGGATTGCGCGCGCGCGAAGGGTCTTGAGATTCGGTGTAGAAGGGCATGCTCGGAAGTTGCATGAAAGTCCAGAATACACACGGGTGTGGGTGGTCTTCGTGAGTTGCTCGCATCGCTGCGTCCTCGAGCACCAGGGTGCGGAACGTCGTGACACGCAGCAAGGCCTCACATCTGGATATCCTGCGACGGCTCTCAGACAATAGTTGGCAAAGAGTGAGTATGCGTGCGCACCCGTGTCCCAGTCTCATGGTGTACTTCCAGCCAACAACCTTTCCGCCTAGCTCGCGCCCCGAAGTGAATTATGACGAGTTTGTCCGACTGCCGGAACACGGCGATAAGCTCTGAAGATCTGAAGTCAAAGGGTCAACAGAAGGGCTCTTAGAGAGGTGCAAGATACGCACATTATGATCACAGCTGGATAGATGGTGACTTGGAGAGCGCGAGGGTCAGTCGGTAGTCGGGGCGCTCATGGCTCGAGCAAAGGAGAAGGCCTCAAGGGAGGTTTGGACAAGGAGCTGGATGTATCTCAGGGTCATGACATGTCGGTGAAAGCCTGTGTTGTAAGTACTCGCACTACGGGCGCTCACAGAGAGTCCGGGGGTTAGGGTTTCCGCGCCGTTGGCGCTACTCTATTCTGGCCCTGGCCCTCGTACACTACGTTCATTCTAATTTCTCCGCGAATTTTGCTCAGCCACGCGAGCGACACTTTGAACTGCGACGACCAAGTGGAGCGGCCAAATAGAAACCACGCGTCTTCTTCTGCGAAGATCGCTGCGGGCGAGAAGGACTTAGGACTGCAAGGATCTCGACGCCGTCAGTCAAGGCAATTTTAAGGACACCATGAGTTGCTTGTAAGTGCTGCCTAAGGCAATGTCTTAGAGTCGGTACTGACGCAGGCGTGACTCCGCGCAGGATGGGTGATAGCAATACTCTGTCACGCCGCCGCCGCCTGTCTCTGCTGGTGAGACTCAGCTCGAAGCCACATTCCCCTTTGGCCTCGCAGGGCGCATCGCCTGTATGTGCAGCGTTACCGATCCTGTCTACCGCACACCGCAGAAGGTTCAACACGGTGGACTACTCGCTTCCGACAGACATAGTCGTTGCAACGTCTTCCCAGCAGTGGGAGCCTTCGAAGATGACTGTGCCAGAACCCGAGCTCGAAAACCTCCCCGACGCTCTCTCCTTTTTCTTCTCCCCGGCACTCAGACAACTGCCAGCTCATGCACCGTTCACCAATCTCCGCATGGCAACAAGCCGCTTTTCGCACCCTTGACATCTGTTTCTGATACAATGCGAGGCCGAAGCAGGAGGACCATCATGGTCAGACGGTAGGGATGCGGCCATTGCCATCTATGCGCCCCAGTTTGCGAGGGTGACGAACGAAGAGTCTCGATGGTGAGTGATCAGTTGGCATCCAACGCTCAATGCATTCCTAACACGCCTGAGATAGAGCTCCTCTGCAGTCTGTCTGGCCAACGCTCGTCGTTGTCGAAGAAGATCAGGTTGTCAACCTTCACGTGGATGTCCTCGTCTGACAAGCTACGGACTCACGCGAGGTCCGGCGGGAAATTTCTCGAGCTATCAGCATGGCTCTAGGGCCATGGGACGGCGACGCAAGATAGCAGGTCGAGGTCTCGAGGAACGGAACCCAGAGCGCGCGACGAATGTCGTGGGTGTGCTGTCGGGAAGAGCTGGTTCAAGTTTTTTTTGGACTGATCGCTCTGCTCTGGTGCGTCTCATCTTCGCCTGTGCGCTTTCATGTACTCACTGACGGGCTGCAGGATTGCGGACACCAGCTGGATCACAAGCGCGTCTCGGTTGCCGGCAACGAAGATAAAAACTATGCACGCAAGCCCGCCAGTATGCTGCTGGGCGGACATTTCGATGCACACAACTGGCGCGACAGATACGTCCAACACGCATGATGTTCCTGGTGCAAGGTCAAGCTCGCGCCCATCGCACGCTCCATTAGACCACGGCCCTGCACCTATGCACCTCGCCTCCGACCTGCGTACGGCGCGGCGGCTGTAGAACACGATCACACCAAGAGCACTAATGGCCTATTCCTCAAGATTGAACAAAGTCTCTGAAACATCCGCCCACACTTTGTGAGTGCTATCAGTACATACCTGCGTCGTACAGCCGCTAACGTGCTACTAGGGTTCTCGATATCCGTCGCGACATCCTCCCGTTTGGCCACCACTCCCACATATACTGAACAGTGCTCCGGCTAGGGATGGCTCGCGCACGCTGCCCTCGTGGTTGACCGGCTCCTCGGCTCTTGCGCCGCTGACCGCACCGCATACAACCTCCCCACCGCTCCGGTTTGCGTCGAGCCGTACGCGCTCCCTGGGCGACCTGCCCGCGCTGTACGTCCAGCGGAGCGACTTCATCGAACATCACCTTGGACTCGTACGCCTGGCGCGCCGTCTTTGTGCAACCGGCTGCATTTCGAGTTCCTCGACTTTGCAAGCGCTACCGCAGGACGAAAACATGTATCGGCGTCGGTGCCTGCAGACGATTGGGCAAGCCGCTGGGAGCTCATCGCGATGGGTAGAGGCTTGGGATTTATGCGTGAACACAACTGTTCGTGTAGAGAGCGAACAGGCTAGCCTATGAGCGAGCTTGGGTGTTTGCTAGCAATGGCGTACGTCTGGGACCATTGTACGTTGTGTGCGGAGCTGACATCATTGTTTAGTCGTGTAATAACGCTGTCGTGCTGCGTATGACAAGACAGCAGCTACATCAGTTACATGCGATAGCAGCAGCTCTCTCAACACGGGCCGTGCTTTGTCCCGTGCTTTTTACTATGCTTTACGTCTTACCTTACGATACCAAGGGCTATTATCACAGTAATATCCGACTTTATTTGCTATATTTTCATTTCGTGGTCTGACGGGGAATACTCTGCAGGCTTACTTGCTCAAAATTGGTCTTTGATGTGTTTTCTTCTCTGCATGACCTTTGGATGCCATTCAACCAAGTGACGTAGTGGTAAGGGGCCTCAGCGCCATAGCATTTACCGTTCCGGCATGTGCGATACGCCGCGACTGTCCTTCCACTTTTCCAGCTACATTGGATTTCGAGCATCGGGACGCACAGAACTTCCATATACGTTGTGAGTTTGGCTATTCCGTGTCCTTGATTTTCCGCACTTTAATTTGTGTCCACTTACGATGAAGCAGAAGCCATCCGAGCATGTGTCGTTTCGGCTCGGCATTAGCTCGGGACTTCGGGACTGAACAAAGAACGACCCTATTGACCGTGCAAACTCTAATATTTTTCCAGGCCCACTCTCTGCGAATCCTCCGGCCGACAGGGCTTAGGCGTAAAGTGTCGCTGCATCCTGCGCAGCCGCCTCGGGTCATTGATCTGTGTTCCAACTGAGGCGATTTCTCGTTCAAGCTCACGTACAAAGCGACGCTTGTATTCTTCTCTTGTGCATCATCGATATTTGCATTCACATCACCCATCATCGGCCTTTCGCGGCCTCATGACCTGCGCCTGCCCGAATGCAGGCACATTCGCGCTCAGCACTCAGCGCTCAGCGCCCGTCGTGGTAGCCAATCAGCGTCCGCCGAACACAACTTCTCTCGCCCGTGACATAGTTCTTCGCAGGCTTTGGGCATGGAGGCGGTGACACGACCCGTTGGTTGAACCACTCCGCCAGCAGCTAGCAACCATGCGCCGTCTCAAACAGAAGTTACGGAGCGGCAAGGTCCCCGACGCTGCAATCGGACACCTCAAGCAAGCTCTCGACGTTTTCAAGGATACCGCCGGTAATCTTGGGGTACCGGGATTGCAGACAGGTGTGAGCGTTCTGTCGGCCGTGTTGGCGATGATCCAGGTATGCGCCGTCTACCGTCTGCTCAGCAACGATTCTAACTTTAGAGTTAGAAGTCGCATGCGAACACCGAAAGCATCAATGAACTGTCCACGAAACTCGAGGGATTGACGACAATGGTGAAGGAGTGCACGGAACTTCACGGCGGAAAAATATCTACGCCAATGGAGGACAGAGTCAAGCGATTACTGGAGTAAGTTTGCCGTCGATAGCACAAAGTTAAGTTGCTGACGGTGCACAGGTCCTGGAAGGCGATTGACGATGAGGCTCAGAGTCTCAAGTCCAGGAACAAGATGCGGAGAATAATGGAAAGCGAAGAGGAAGCAAGAAAGGTCACGGGTCTAGTGCAAAGGGCATCGTGGTCGATCCAGAGTTTCATGGTATGCATCGTTTGATATCTCTGGAGGTGCGTCCCTGTTGCTGACATGCGACCTTGGATTATAGGTCGAGGGTATGATCGCGATCGAATTTACTTTGGACGTAAGTGGCAGGTGTGTCTGGGTTGATGATATGGATGTTAACTTTGGATTTGAAGCAACACACGCATTTCTCGAAACAGAGCGCGGAGCGTGTTGAGGGAAAGTTGGATGCCATACGGGATGATATTCAAGTGAGACTCCTTCAGCAGACGCAGAAAACATGATCTGATGCCTAATTGTTTGCAGTACTTGCGATTCAAGTCGGAAGGTGTGTTCGGGCCAGACCGTACAGCGGCGGCATCGTTCTAACCGGCTGACTCTAGGAGGTTCGGTACCACCACATGCGATCCGAGCGCAATTCGACAGCCACCCCGAGCGCAAAGCCTGCCTCGATGGGACGCGTACCGAAATTATGGAGAATATCTTAACTTGGGCAGCCGGTCAACCTATGCCTGGTGTCACCGCAGTTGAACCTGCTATGACCTCTGCTGATGATCAATACAACATCCTCTGGCTCAACGGTCAGCCCGGGTCCGGCAAGACAACACTAGCATTCACCGTCGCACAGCGTTGCCGTGCCAGCCGTACCTTGGGTGCCAACTTCTTCTGTTCCCGATCGGACTCCGATTGCAGCAACGCCTCGCTGGTCTTCACGACGATTGCTTACCAACTTGGATTGTTCTACGAGCCTTACAAGGACCTGGTAGCGGAGATACTCAAGAAGGACCCCCAGTTGGTATACTCTAGTGTCTCTCGCCAATTTGAGGAGCTCATAGTCCAGCCGCTGACACACCTCCGTGGTGGCTTCCCTCCATGTGTCATAGTGATCGACGCACTCGACGAGTGTCGAGACCCCCAGGTCACGTCTGCAGTGCTATCTACTCTGCTGAAACACGCAGAGGATCTCTCCCCTCTCCGATTCTTCGTCACCAGCCGTCCCGAACGGCACATTATTACCAGGTTCGATTCTCCTAATTATCGCAGTGCGTCTGGCCGGCTCCTCTTACACGAAGTCCCGCTAGAGTCTGTCGCTCCGGATATCAAGAAGTACGTCACGACATCCCTATCGGAGGTCAGACTGGAGTTTGGCCTGGCAGAGTCCTGGCCTGACGAGGCCGATATCGATATTGTCAGCCGGTTGGCCAATGGGTCGTTCATATTTGCCGCGACCGCCACGAAATTCATTGGGGACCCGGGCTACGACGATCCAGTTGGACAGCTGAAGACGCTCACATCCGCTGCGGTTGCACACGGCTCCCATCGGTTACTTGACGGATTATACCTAACGGTGCTCGAGACTACGTTTCCTAATATATCGGCAGGCCTGCTAGGACGACTGAAGACTGTCCTTGGATCGATCGCCGTCCTCAAGGATCCCCTTCCCCCATCCGGCCTGTCGCACCTACTTGGGCTCCCTACTGACGCTGTGCGCGGCTCTCTCATGCGTCTCCACTCCGTGCTAGTCATACCGGCCGCTCAAGAGTCTGCGGCGAACATCCGCATCATCCATCCGACATTCCCCGAGTTCCTGCTTGACCCGAGCCGCTGCACGAGCCGTTCATTTGTTGTCAACTCGCGACGGCAGCACACGCTCTTGCTACACAGATGCCTTGATGCGCTGAAGGAGCTGAAGCGAGACATCTGCGGCATCCGAGACCCATCGCTGCTCAATGCCGAGGTTCCCGGCCTACTGGGCCGCATAGAGAGTGCGATCCTGGCACACCTGCGATATGCATCTCGGCACTGGTGCACTCATCTACTCAACGGCGAGCTGTCGGACGAGATCCTAGACGCACTTGTTGAGTTTGTTCAAAGTCAGCTGTTGCATTGGATTGAAGTGTGCAGCCTTCTCGGGATATTAAGGGATGTCGCCTCGGGCATCAATGAGGCCCAGCGGAAGCTGAGGGTGAGTGCGCCTTGCTCTTGGGCATAGCTCATACATCTAATATCCTTTGCAGGGTGTTGACGATGAACGAGCGAGGGACATTGTCGTTCTGTTGAATGACTGCGAACGACTGGTTGTCGGCTACTTCCCTGCCATCAGCAGCTCGGCACTACAACTATACTACTCGATTCTATCATTCACCCCGACGAAGACCGTGCTTGCACGGACGTATGCACACGAGTGTTTTTCCGAGAGCTCTGTCAGAGTTTTTGGCAGTGTCCCAGGCATGTGGGGTGCCTGCTTGGGCACGGTCGGTGCAGATGGGGACGCTTATGTCAGTGCTGTTGGCTTCTCACCCGATGGCAGGACGATTGCCTCATCAGGACGCGACTGCAAGATACGGATTTGGGACGGGCTGACGAGCGCCCTGCTATCGGTCCTCTCCGGTCATTCTGACTGGGTTCGCTCTGTCAAGTATTCTCTGGACAGTGTTCGCATAGTTTCTGCTTCCAATGACAAAACAGTCAAGATTTGGGACGCCGCGTCTGGCGTGCTTGTCCGCACCCTGGAAGAGCACACAGACTATGTCCTCTGCGCAGTCTTCACACCTGACGGCAGCCATATCGTGTCTGGCTCCAATGATCATTCTCTCAAGATCTGGGACTCCGGGACAGGCGCCTGCTTGGAAACCCTGGCCGCGCACGATGACAGGGTCACATCCATTGCGGTGTCTCGGGACGGCCGCTGGATGGCGTCGGGCACGGAGAAACAAGTCTCTCTGTGGAGCCTGGAGGCACCGTCATACACCCATCGTGTCGTGGGAACTCCCAAAGGCGAACGCTTCCCTGATCATGCTGTTGCCTTCACGCCAAATAACTCCCAGGTCTTGATTGCATCGTACACCATTGGCTCCAAGTCTGGGAAGCTGTCAGTCTGGGATGTCGAGACCGCGAAGCACCTCCGCGACCTTTGGCCATCAGGCCTGTCATTCGGGCCGATCTGCAGTCCCAGCTTTTCTTCAACAGGAGACATGCTTGCTTGTGGAGCGGATAACACTGTCCTTGTCTGGGACTTTGCTCATGGCGGGGTTCTACAGGCGTTCTCTGGTCACAGCAATTGGGTCATGAGTGTCGCCTATAACCAAGACGGGACTCGCATCGCGTCTGGCTCGAGGGATGGCACTGTCCGGCTGTGGGACGTGACACAGCCCGCGACGCTCAAGCCACAGCCCGACTACGCCAGCATCCCAGCCAATCTTTCCAGCGAGAAATCAACGGGTTACTCCTCAGTCATTTTCTCCCACAACGCGCTGGGGCGTGCGCTGTTAGTTTCCAACGACAGGTCCAGTACCAGTATCGAGGTGGTGAAGACTGATTCGTGGGACCGCGCATGCAAGCCTCTGACCGTGCCCTCGGAACACCGGCACTACGTAGCGTTTTCACCAGACGGTGCAACGATCCTTACTGCATCGGAGGGATATCATGGCGTGGTGGCTCTCTGGGACGCTGCTTCCGGGTCGCCGCGTCTCCAGCTTCAAGCTCACGGCTGGCTGGAGTTTGCGCACTGGTCCCCTACTTTCGAGGACATCTTCATGTGGAGTGGCGTCTTGGGCTACACGCCCCACTGCTTCGGCGGCCAGTCGTCGTCGCTAATGTTCTCGCAAGATAGCCGCCACCTGTTCATGCCGCATTCCTACACCGCTTTTCTCTGGGACATTGCGACAGGCAAACTCATTCGAGACTTTTCCGGACATATGTTTAGTGTTCGCTCCGTCGCCTTCTCGCTGGACGGCAGACGTATTGCAACAGGCTCCTGGAATGGGATTGTCGTCATTTCGGATGTTGCGATCGGAGCATCTCTGGAGACACGTAGGAGCCATGGGGGCTCGGTTCACTCCATCGCCTTCTCTCCCAATGGAGATCGTGTTGTGTCCGCAGGCCTTGACAATGTTATTCTGGTGTGGAATGCAGAGGGAGGGGGGCTGCTCCGGGAGCTGGAGGGGCATCCCCACATGTTATGCTCGGTCGCCTTTGCTCCCGGCGGGGACGTCATCATCTCCTCCTCGGTTGACAGAACCATGCAACTCTGGGACGCCGAATCCGGCGCTTGTCTCCTTGTTCTGCGCCCAAATACCTGGTACCGCACCCTACATCTGTCCCCCGACGGCTCCGGAGTCCTAGTCGACAACGATAAACGACTTGTTCAGCTGTGGGCCCCCCTCGATGCAGCCGCGCAGGTGACCACCCCGCTCCCGTGGCTTCCGCGTCGCACCTGGCCTATATATTACATCGAAGACGACTGGATCTTCTCTTTGACGCCGTCTCGGCGGACCCGGTTGTGTTGGATTCCACTAGACTGGCAACGCGAGGGCTTCGCGGGATATTGTGGACACGATGTGGTGTTCAAGAGCGGGTATAAGCTGAATTTCTCAGGATTGAATAGGTACCTAGATAGCTTGCACAGTACTCGCACGTAATAGTGTATTTAGGATGCTGTAGACCTTCGTGCATATTTGGAGCATAGTTTCAGTAGTACAAGGGATATGTTGTCTCCAAAGCAAATGTATTATAGATGTACGCCATCATACAAATGACTCTACATGAATACCGTGGCGTCGGTCCACCTCATCCATGGTGAAAATCGCGGTGCAAACATCAGTCGCGAAATGATGGACGCTCGCCGAGTCTGAATCGTCAGACAGCAAGGTCAACCAGCGAACGACTATAGCTAAGGCCAAAGCGATACCACCACAGCCGTGAAGCGATGCCCCGCGCGAGCTTGATGCCGTTCGCCTCGAGGTTCTCGAGTGAGAGCGACCGACGCTTAGTCTCTCCCTCGCCGATGGCGTTCAATTTCGTCGTCACCGGTGTGGTGCGAGGCACGACCGCGGGAAGCGAGAACTGGTCGCGCTGCCATGCGATGTCGTCCCCGACCTGCGCCGGCCGCAGCAGGAATCGGCGTTCGCAGCAGACTGCACGGCACCGCGAAGCCCTCTGGCGCGCTTGTTGTGCTCACTGTGCTCATTATGCTCGCATCGCGCTGGGCAGGCCCTCGGCGTTCTTCTCGCCTTCACCGGGGCCGTCGAGTGTGCAAGGCGGCACTGTGGCGCTGTGACTGGGATGCGGGGTTGGAGCACTTGTGCCAGCCGGCGGAGATGTCTGATCGCGGGGGAGGAAAGAAGGGCAGAAGGTGTTCGGGTGGAGGTAAGTGAGGATCAGCCTTGGAGTGCTATCATCCCGCGACCGGCTTGATATAAGGGATGGTTAAGAAGGGCGAAGACGTCCAGATGCTAGCTTCAAGCGGTAGGGAAGGCATGGACTTTGAGCCGAGCAGTGAGAGCTGACGTCGTCGCTGTCACGCCTACTGGCTCGGACACAGGTACTCGTCGCAGAGAAGACAGTCCCGTAACAGGCATCACAGGCCTGCGTGGACTTGCGACCCTGCTTGTATGACATAGTGGTTGAGGGTCCGGTCCTAAGGACCGGTCGGGACCGGGACTTGGACTGAGACTGGACTGATCAGGACTGGGTATGGTCCAGTTCTACGTCAGTCCAGTCTTGGTCACAGTCCTTGGTCCTAGATGGCGCTGGGTGCTTTTAGGACTGGTCATGACCAGTCAGGACCAGTCACAGACCAATATAAAGTAACAAAAATGCAGCACCCAGAAAGCAGCTTGGCTACTGGTACATGTATATCTTAGTAATTTCTGAACTGCAACCATGTCCTTGTAGGCTTGTCCAAGTACACAGCCAGCTTAAGCACAGATTAATACATTTTTTAAAACTCTTTTTATGATTTATTCAAGTTTGGATGCGGTTACTGCACATAACCAGCTAAAGCCATGACCATGGGAAGATGGAGCCTGAGCGTAGAGATGACAAGGCTCTCAAGGATATGGAGGTTTTATACAGAAATGCTGAGAATGATGAAAGTGGTGCATGATACCCTTCTTCTCTATTTAGAATCCAGCCGTGTAAGCAGAGCATTGTTTTCTTTGCTGAATATAGTAATGTGCAACCTTGGCTCAAAGCTTGCAAGCCCAGCCCAAAAAAAGCCTGACCTGAGCCTGGCCTGGCAGTGGGCTCAAGGCCAGGCTTGAGTCAGTGGGTGGTCTCTGCTAGTGTGAATTTATCCTAAGCTTGGCAACTTGGGCCGGGCTCAGGCTCAGGCTCAGGCTCAGGCTTGGGGTCAGGACTCAGCCCAACATTGCCATGGGCCCAATCCTGGGCTTTAAGCTCAAGCCGTGCCTGCATATCACTAGCTGAATATTTGTTTTGATTTTTAAGTGTACAGTGTTCACCGATGCCTTGTGCGCACAT